CCTAAGTGTACTTACATTTCAAAATATAAATTTATATATATAAATAAAACAAAAATAATTCTACGTTAACATTACTGTCTATTGCTTATCTGAGACCTAAGTGTACTTACATTTCAAAATATAAATTTATATATATAAATAAAACAAAAATAATTCTACGTTAACATTACTGTCTATTGCTTATCTGAGACCTAAGTGTACTTACATTTCAACTGTGTTTAATTTTCCTTTGGCCTTTTTAAAATTGAAAACCCACAAATATTTATTTTATTTATTTATTTAGATTCAATTGCAATTAAATAATGTCCATTGAGCAGCTCTGATTGTCCTAACAATAATTAAATTTACAATAGCAGTAATGAATTTATTTATTTACTTAGATTTATTTAAAAACAAACAAATACCAAGGGGTACCTAGCCAGGGTTCTAGACTCCCCTGTCATAAATTACAGAACCAAATAAAATACAGCAGCCTGTAGAACATCAAGTATCAGGGGGTAGCTGTGTTAGTCTGTATCCACAAAAAGAACAAGGAGTCTGGTGGTACCTTAAAGACTAACAGATTTATTTGGGCATAAGCTTTCGTGGGTAATAAACCTCACTTCTTCAGATGGAAGAACATCAAACTTCCTTTCTTCATACAAATCTGACTAATCTCAAAAGCTCATCTCCACCGCCGGCCCATAGGGTAAATTGATAAGAGAAAATAGATATAGAAGAGAAGGACCCACAACCACCAATGATCATCTCTCTACAATTGCTGAGCAGTGATCCTGTGGCATATGCTCTACTCCAGAAGAAGGTGAAATTTCCTGTAAAAGGGATGCTGATTCCCCAGAGTGTTTAATGCACCGGAGAAGAATATCAGCACAGCCATTTATTTAACTCAGGCAAAAAACCTTTGAGGTTAATGCTTAACTTTTTACCCAAGGAACAAAAAGTGCATTAGCAAAACTTAAACGCTACAAAATTCAGAAATCCACAATGAAGGTTCTTGATGGAAAATGCTAATGACCATTACATATTAAAAAAACCCTCTTACCTGTCGCGTGTTCATTACAGATAGATTCTGGACAACTCCTAGATTTACCATTCCTTTAGCAAATAAAAAAATAACATTTTGGGTAAGCAAAACAACAGCAGCAATAACTGTGTGCTGTCCATCCTTTGAGGACTGCTACTGATGTAAGGTTGTGATACTTTGGGTAAGTTTATTGTGCTTTCACAATGAATTTTGGTAACTGGGTAATAACTTCTCAGTGTCAGGTCTGATTGGGTCTGGGGCAGAGAGTTATTTCCACTGCCACTCTGCTCTGAGGTTTCCATCAACAGAAGGGCATCTCTAAAGCCTTCATAGAAGACCCATATGTGGGAGCTGCTGAGGAGATGCATTGAATTGGCTCCCCTGGCCATTCTCCCATCCCACACTTTGCTCTCCGCCTTTGGGCCTACTCTGTCCACGTGCAGAGTGTGTGGCCATTTTTTGCTGCCTCTGCCTTTTCCCTGGGAGACTTTATGCCACCTGGGGCCCAGTCTGTGAGACATTGAAACAAAGCAGTGATCGAATGCGGGAAGTTTCCAAAAGAAAAGTTGATCATCTTTATTCTCCAGTAGGAGCCCTTTGTTATCTTTCATGATATTGAGGCTGCCAGGTGCAGAGAACGATGAATAAACACATTTTGTTTAACATCTTGCAGGCTGGGCTAATGTTATTCTTTCAGGAACCTTGTGAATCTTCTTTATATCTGATTTAATCTGGAATTTGTTTGATGAACATGACAGTCTTGTTTCTCACAAGTGTCTCTGAGAATCTAAAGTCATGATTGGGCATGAGAGGCGGCGTGAAGAAGGACAAAGAGGGAAGAAAAGAGACTTCGGTGCACTAGTTTGCTTGCTTTGTGTTATGCCTAATCTAGCTGTGACAAAGAAGATGCCCCGAGAAAGGCAGTATCTACCAGATTGCACTTTTCAGTGCGAAATGATGTACTTCTAGTTTTGAAAAAGGAACGCGCTAGTATCCTGCATTTAAAAATACTGGTTTAGTAACAGCAGTTCTGTGGCAAATATAAATAAAATGGAGCATCTTATGACAGAATTCCAGGAGAAGCAGAGAGAAACCATGACTGAGTCCTGTGATGCTTTCTCTCATTTGTTTGCTTGTCTTTCAAATACCTCTTTCACCCTTACATCTTCCAGAGCTGGGAGATCACCATCAATGTGTGGTGTGTTCTTGTTTATGCTGGCACTTTTTAAAAACCTCTCACCACTGCACTCCCACATATGGTGGGAAACTAGTGCGTTTAACAATCATTACTCGGAACAGGATTGGACAACATGGTGGTATTAACACCAGCTACCTCTCTACACTAATGCTGCCACCAGCGAAATCGCACCAGGGTTCATATGCTGTTGGAGTAGTTTTAGAAAATTGCTAGTGTGGACACAGCCTCCGATATCCGAAGTGTAATTCACTTCTCCAAGTGTTCTCTGCCTTAAATAGATTTCCCCAAGTTATCCTGAGTGAGTACTGGCAAAACTCAGAAGACCAGGATCCCTTCCATGGATTTGTATGAAATTCCTAGCTACTGTACACAATGCTAAGTTTAACATCTCTAGATGGTGTCATTGCTGGCTTGATTTCCAGCGTGCAAACTGAATGGGAAAAAGTCTGCAATCTTACTTCATTCTGCCAGAATTCTGTCTTGCTGTCAGCCTGGAGTTGGAGAAGAGAAATAGAAGCAATCTGAACACTTGTTTTTATAAGTTTCTTTGGGTCATTCTGTTGGAGAATATGTCCCCAAAGTATGACAGTTCACTTTCTCCATCTTCCTTCCCCATCCAGCGAGGACTCTGCTAGTGCATGGCAGAGCAGATTGACACCAACACTTGCATGGGGCAAAGTCAATATACAACCTCTTATCTCTTCAGAAACTATGTTCATTCTCTGGGCTGTCCTTGCTTTGCAGATGCCCTTGAGCAGCACCACACAGGCCTTGGAGTTGTCTGAGATCCATGCTTGCCTGTCTCTGTATACTTGGAGATTACTTCTGTCTAAATGAGCGGCTGGGAAGCTCACCAAAACAGAAAAGGACAACGGAAGCCACAGCTGGTTTTGGTTCAGGGAAGCAAGAAGGGAGCGGATGGTTTCTGCTTTGAATTAGAGCATCCTCACCACAATCTTCCTGAGTTAGAGAAGTGAACCATATGGGAAAACGGCCTGAGATTGCTCTTTCCAACTCTGTTACTGCTCAGTGAGTAACACGCTTTCACGGTGCTCTGACCCTCTGAGCTGCTCAACATCTGATTGGATCATTCTCCAGTCAATCTTTCAGCCACTCCCTATGCACGCATTTTAATGCACTCAGGGCTTTCCCAGACAAATGCCTTTTGTACTGCAGATATGAAGCACTGACACTGCAAGGGATGTTGTATGTACTGTGCATAGCAGCTTGGGTTGGTGATACCTTTAGTAGAGGTATTTAATTACTGAGATTGTTCCACAAAAAAACATTATTCCAATAAACCAAAGCTGCCCAAATCTGCCTGGGCATCATGCATTGGTGGATCAAGTACTAGAGAGTCTCGGCAGACATCCCAAAGCAGTCTGTCACCACCTGCTCACACTTTAGATAACACTGGT